CAAATCTGTCCAATTGCAGGTTCCACAAGTCCCCACTAAGCTTCCATCAATAGGGCAGGAGAGCCCTTTTAAACTCATGAGGCAGCACAGTCCAGCTGTGCTGTGAGACCACTCTAGTCCCAGGATCCTGCCATTCAAATGCATACAATGGCAGTCTCCTGTGTCCTTCACCAGCATTAACTGTCCCCACTGTTAATTTCGCCCAGGGATCCTATGGGGGTATTTGAATTGGAGCCACTGGGCAGGGGGCCCAGGACCCTCCTTGGTTATCTAAGTCCTGTCCTTGAAAAAACCATTTGCTATCCTGGGTGTTTATTATTACCTGGAGCCCTTTGCAATCTTTGGCAGTACTCTTTCCAATGTCCTTCCTTTTTACAAAAAGCACACTGTACATCAACATAGGGTGACTTTTCCCACCCTTTTCTTTTTAACTGTAGCAATGGATCCTGTCAGCTGTCCTTGCACATTCAAGCCCCCTGTCTGATATTGCCAATGTTGCCCTGCCCCAGCTAGGAGCCCTCTGGCCAAATTGAGTTCCCTGACAGGTCTTAGAAGGAAGGACCATTCCACTCCCAAGTCATACTTAGTGGGCATAAGACTGAAGAATTAGTTCCAGTGCCACCCGCCCCAGCCTCTCTCATGGTGCCAAGATGGTGGCAGTGGCAGTTGCTCTGGGTGGGCTCCATGCAGGGCCTGCTTCCCAGGCCAGCTGCAGGCTGCAGGGGCTCCATCAGCGCAAGCATGAGCATGGGTGGACCTGCAGTGCTTTCCTGTGGATCACCCCGGCTGCAGCAGGCTTGTGGCCATCCCCGGGAGCTCGGCAAGCACGGGCACCTCCCTGCTGTATTGCGTGTGCATGTGCTGGAGGCAGGCAGGTTGCAGATGTTCCCCCTTGCACAGGGCCTGTCCCCGGGCTGCAGTTCCTTGCAGTGCCTCACCTTGGCCAGTGCCTAGCAGCTGACCCATAACTGGTGTTCAGGCAAATCCGACAATTTAATTAAAACAATTTATCACAAAGGCCTGTGGTGGACTGGGCAGTGGGTAAAGGGCTTATGAGATCCAACTAGGTTAATCCCTCTCCAATGCTATCACCTGGCCTTTCAGCCTCTTTATTATCCAATTGCATGAAAGATTGTAGGCATGAGATCTTGTCCCATTTACCTGACCTTTGACAAAATAATTCCAATTTTAAGGTAGTATAATAATTTAAGGTTTCATTCAACAGCCACTTCTCCTCAATCTCTAGCACATACATTGGATTATAATAACACCATTCTCTTTAGACATAGATTTACAGCTGTAAGTTGGCCATTCAGCCAGGATTCTCCCCAAGGGGCTTCCAGATGGAATAGAAGCGGAGCCTCCCATGTTGAGAATCAGTAATGAGCACAACATGACAAGTAGACAACACAGGTGTCCCCAACGCAAGTCAGCTTAATGCCAAGGCCTTATCAAACAAATGGGAAACTGACAAACGAGAACCAAATTCTCTCAAACGAGAACCATATCCCAATCCAATGAGGAATGAATCTCCAGGTTCCCCAGTTGAAACAAACTCACAAATAACAAGCAAAGACAATATAGGGGATCCCCAATACAATCTCAAATGCCAAGGCCTTCCAAACAATGGGAACCAAATTCTCAAATGAGAACCAACATCTCCTAATCCAATGAATTCCCCAGGTTCCCTGGGAACCATACAAATGAGCTCCAATTCCAAACCAGGTTCCCTAGTTCCACTCAACTATGACTTCCACCCCCAAATGGTGCCTCCAACAAATCCAAACAAAATGTCCTGCCACAAAGCAGGCAGGTCCAGAAACCTCCCAAATGGGTGGAATCAAGGGTCTCAGCGCACATGCCAAGGAACTTAAACAAATGGCCAAGGCATCCAGACACTTCCCAAATCCATTTTCTTTTCCTGAACAAAGTTAAAGCTGGTTGGAGCTGCGTCTAATCTGGAGAAGAGAGACCCAGGCATTTCCTGGAGCTAATCAGGCTTTGGCAGCTGATGGTCCCTCACTCTCTTATCTGAAAAGGCAATGCTCCTACCCGTGGCTTGACCTGGGGCTGCTTCCTGCTGCCTCCAGCAGTTGCAGGGTGCCATTCCGCTGGGGCGCTGAGGAATGCCACCTGGGCCCACCGAGGAATGCCAAATTCTGTCACCGAAAGTTTGGCATTTGTTCCTGAGGCTACATCAGAAGAACAAGGAAAAGTGGTTTGAGGAAAAGGAAAGAGAGGTTTATTCACTTGCTGGAAAATGAGGAGGAGACTCTCATCTTAAGGTGCCCTCGTCTTCCCTATAAGCAGAAACACAGGCCTTTAAAGGGAGCGTTCTCAGCTCCAGGCTATTGCTGTTCAACTGTGACTGATGGCTCTGGGCCATCCCATCTCCAGTGAAGACGATCGCATGACCTCTGCCCAGGTGATTCTGTTGAGCCATCTCCCGTGGTATGAATAAAAAGGACACTCCCTGCCCTTTGGCCTCTGGCAGGGATGTAGGTTTTAATTCCCAAAAAGAGTGGGGGTGAGTTTTAAAGAGACAACTTGTAAAACATTTTACCCTTCTTCAGGCCATTCCCACTGTCACACGCAGGGGAGAGGAGAACCAGACGGTGAAGACTTGCCACACCCACACTCTTGGCTTCCCTGGGTCTTGGGTCAATAGAGAAAAGCAGAAGAGACCTTCTCATGAGTCGTTTTAAAATAGCAGTAAAATGATTAGATAACGTGGGGGCAGAGCTGGTGTAAGAAGGTGTGCAGTGGCACTTCCCCCAAAAAAAGGACTAAGAGAAGAGTAGGGGGTCTTGAGGTGGGCCAGCCATGGGGAGGGATGGATGTCAGACCAGCCTAGGGACTGAGAGAAATAAATGAGTGGGATAGGACTTGGAAGGGTCAGGTCACTGAGAGAGATGAGGAGTGAAACCACCAAGGAAAGGGAAGACAATAATGAGTAACTTTTACTGAGTGCTGGCCATGTGCCTGCACCAAACACTTGTTAACTCAGTACTCTCAACAACCTGTGAGCCTGGCACTATTGGAACCTCCATTTGAAAGATGAGGAACTCAGAGATGTTAAGTATCTTGTCTTAACATCAGGGTCACCCAGCTGGGAGGTGGCAGAGCTGAATCCTCCCATCTGCCGCCGGAATCTGAAGTCTCTCTGCCTTTGTAGCCTTAACTCTTAACAGCCATGCTGGGCCACCTGTCAAGATGTTATTAAAAGAGGGAGGAAGAAGGATGTTCCATCCCTCTTTCCCAGGTCAGCGCTGGTTTGCTGTTGAAGAGGATGTTCTCCAAACCCAAACCAGGACTTGCCGCCGGCAGCGTGTCAGAGGGTGTGGCCTCAGAGAAAGCCACACTTGCGGTCTGGGCTCCCTGCTCAGGTCTCTCTCCAAGGCCTCTAGGACTGGGTGATGGCCTGACCGTTGGCCTCCAGGGACGCCCTGACTCTCCTGACACCACCGTGGTGTGTGCGGCAGAGCCAGAGCGCTCCAGCGGGCCCTGCGGGCACAGGGCCAGTGAGGCCCAGGAGGCTCTGACCAAACTGACACCTCTGGGTCAGGGTGGACGCTGAGGAGGAAGAGGCAAGTAAGGCTTTCTCTGTTGCTATGCACTGATCCAATGGGTTTCTGATGAGAAAGAGGAATCTGCATTTTTAGCATGGCCTGCAGACACTTCTGGGCAGGCTGGGCTGGCCTTCTGTGTTAGTTAGGAATGCTTTTGGGTACAAGTAACAGAGACCAACAATGGCTTAAACAAAGAGGGATTTATTTTTATTTACAGGAATTCTGGAGAAGGATGGCTGCTGGCATGGGCTTGGTCCAATAACGATAGGGTCAATGTCACTGTGACTCTCTTGGCCTTTTTCTCAAAATCGTAAGATGGCTGCAATAGCTCCAGGCATCACATCCTCAATCGAGGCAGGAAGAAAGGAGGGGCAGAGAGGTCTTAGCCATGTTGATGTCTTTTATCAGAAAAGCATAAGCTTTCCTAGAAGCCCCTGTAGACTTCCTCTTCAATTTCATTGGCCATACCTGGTCACATGGTCATCCCAAGCTAGAGAGGAGGCAGAACAGAAAGAATCTGGACAGATGGCCTCCACAGTGGGAGGCAGCTAGAGAGATGGAGCTGGGACTGACCACTGGAGAGTGAACCAAGGGCATCTGCCATGGTCCCCCTGGGTGGAATGGTATTTGAAGTTCCTACTACTGGGGCTTCTTCTCCATGACTTGTTGTCTCCATGGAGAACCTCTGGGGACCACTGGGTGAGACCCCAACGTGCCCTTGGAGAGTCCTCCTCCACCTGAGGCCTCTGTCCTGCTTCTCTGTTGTGCACCTTTCGCATAGCCCACACCTGGCAGGCACCTAACACAGCACTACCACGTTCTTGCCAAGACGGCACCAGTCAGGATGGCCAGGAGCCACTGAGAGCTCGGTCGATGCTCACACACACACACACAGGCTGACGGGCTGCATTCACACCCTGTACTGGCACCACACACAACACAAGGACATCTTCAGTCACCCAAACCACCCAGTTAGGAGTCAGACCAGGAAGAGCCCTTTCTTCTGTGGGTCCCACCTTTGCTCCCAGGAAATCAAAGAGCAGCGCGGTGGCAGCTCTTTCCAGCAGTTTTGGGGGAGTGAAAGAAGATGGTTTTATAGCACTGCTGTCACCTGCATGATGGGCTTATTAAGCCAGAGGTAATGCTTTTAGTCTTCAGGGGGAAAGAAACAGGCTGGGTTTATTCTCTAAATCTTTAAAAATGGGATAGGAGCAAAAGTTTAAAATATTTGACCCTCAAAAGGAAGGACTTTTTGAGGAAGAAAGATGGGTGAATTCATCAAAGCTGGGCCAGGGAGAGGGCAGGCCTCAGCCAGGGAGGGGGCAGGCCTCAGCCAGGGAGAGGGCAGGCCTCAGCCAGGGAGGGGGCAGGCCTCAGCCAGGGAGGGGGCAGGCCTCAGCCAGGGAGGGGGCAGGCCTCAGCCAGGGAGAGGGCAGGCCTCAGCCAGGGAGAGGGCAGGCCTCGGCCAGGGAGGGGGCAGGCCTCAGCCAGGGAGGGGGCAGGCCTCAGGTAACAGAGGCTTGAAACAGTGACTCAAAGGGGCCAGTCCTTAAAGGTGGTAATGGGGTTTTCTAACCACTATTTATATTTCCAGAAATCTACTGGAAATCATTGTATATTTGTGTTCTCTAAGGCTGTAGGAAAAGGTTACATTGTTTTTTCTTTTTTTGGCTAGAATTGCATCATTAACAGTGTGGTGACACTGGTAAGAAATGCAGATTGGCAATTCTATACATCTCTGGTAGAAATGACTATCACACAACCAACAGGATTTGTTAGGCTGAAGTCTTCCTGGATGGGAGTCCTCGCGGGTGGGGTGGAAAATGAATGAAGGGTGCTTGGGGCTACAGAGGAGGGCGGGGACCAGGTGTCTGCGGTGGGAACTTCCAGGGCAGAGATCACAGGAGTTGGGGACAGTGATGGCTTCAGGGATGGTATTTCCCTGAAATACCAGGGATATGCACTATCCCTGCCTGCTCCAGCCCTGCTGCTCACAGCGCGGGCCTCAGCTTGTCAGAAATGCAGACTCTCAGCCCTCACCCCAAATCTACTGAATTAGAAGTTGAGTTTTAACTGGATCCCCAGGGATTTGTATGAAAAATAGTTTGCAAAGCACTGCTGCAGACTTCTGGACACAGGAATGCTGCAGCCCTGGCTACAAGTGTTACAAGGCCTGGACAGGGAGGGCTGTGCAGGGGAGAAAAGCAAAGCAGGAGTGTGGGGGAAAGTCTGGCAAACCCTAATACGCCTGTCAGCACCCTTCCCACCTCTCATGCCTGGGGGCTGCCCGCCCAACTGACCCTCAGGGGCTTTTGGGGCAGGTGTCCTTGAAGTTAAGCTCTGCTGGCTGCAGGTGACACCACAGATGGGGGAGGGAGGGAGAGACTTCTCTGAGACCCAGGAGCCCTGCTGCTCTGAGAAGCAGGACCCTGGGGGGCCTGGGAGGTTCCTGGTGGGGGGGCCTGGGCAGGATGGAGGGTCTGTCAAGCCAGAGGGCCACCTGTCCCTCCTTCCCAATTCTGCCAGAAAACCCTCCCCTGCCGGGCTCAGAACCCCCTTGGGAGGGGCGCCCTGGGACGGCTTTTCTGCGGCGGCTTCCTCGCGGAGCAGGAGGGCTGGGTGCTGGAAGGAAAAGCCTCGGCACTTACAGAAGCGGGGCCTTTGGGGCGGCACGTTGTTATGGGAGTGGGTGGGAATGTGACAGGTGCCCCCAGGCCGGGCCCAGGGCTGCCTGGTGCGGAGGGGCTGGAGGAGGGCGGGCTGGGCGGGCGCAGCGAGGCCCAGCGGCCAGCCCTACCCCTACAGCGCCCTCTCTTGGCTGGTCGGCGTGGCGGTCCTCCGCAGGTTTTCCCTGACTTTGATAAACTCAGGGGTGTGGTCCTCTTCCTTTTCCGGTGGCTTTTCCAGCTGAAGGAGAGAAGCAGAGGTGTGAAGTCGGTGGGCTGGGCGATTCCCATTCTCAGGACCACGGGGTTTGGACCAAGGATTCTCTTAGTGGGGAAAGAACGCCCCTGGGGATGGGCTTTGCCACCAACCTGGCAGCTGGGGCACACAATATGAGACTGAGTTCTCCTTGTGAAGCCTGGTGCCACTGGCTCCCCTCTGAAATGGGAGTGCCACCTGACTCGCAGGCAGTTATGATGGAATCAAAATCAGCATGCTGCATGCTGGGCCAATGAAGAAGCTGAGGTTCAGAGAGGGGAAGCCACTTGTCCAAAGTCACACAGCAGAGTGAATGGCAGAGCAGGGCAGTGGTGGACCCTTGGTCCAATGCTCCTTCTGCTGACCCTCCTCCCTCTTGTGGCTGCAGCCACATGCAGAAAACAAAACCTCTGGGCCACGATACAGCCGTGGAGGAGACTCAGCCTGGGCTGGATGCCTTTCACCCACCTGATTCAGCCGCTGCTGTCGCCTCAGCAGCTCCTGCTCGAAGGGGCACTGCAGCCTCTTGGCCTCCATCTCTTCCTTTTTCTTCTTGAGGAGCTGGTTCCGCCGACGGTGCTCCAGGACACGCTGCAGCTCCGGCTTGCTGTCCACACCCAGGCCCCTGGGGTGGGGGGGCTGTCAGGAGACCCTCGCCGCCCCGCCCCCCAGTCCCAGCTGCACCCTGTGGTGACACCAGCCTCCACCGTTATCTCTAGCAGTCCTGCCAGCAGCCCTGGAGCTGGGACTATTGTGGTCCCACTCTACAGAGATGGGAACTGAGGCTCCCAGTCTAAGTCAGAGCCACATAGCCACAAAGCGGTCCAATGAGGATGTGAGCCCAGGGCTACCTGACTGCAGAGACCGGGTTTTATTAAATATGTTATTTCTGGTTATTTTCTTAGGATAAGTTTCTAAATGTAGAATTGCTGGGTTAGGCTCTTTAAAAAAATTTTGGGTGCATATATCTATCTGCTTCTTAGAAAGGTTATCCGACTTATACTTCCGTCAATGAGCACAAGAGCATCTATTTCTCCCCCATCACCAGCCAATCTTTTTATATTTGAGAATCTGGTAGGCAAGAAATAATATCTGGTTTCTATTTGTTTGATTATCAGTCACATGGAACAACTTTTGATATGTTTGCCAGCCATTTGCATTTCTTCTTTTGTGAATTAACAGTACCTACTTTTTATATATCTTTTCCTTGTGGATTTTTAAGAGATCTGAATATCTCAATTTTTTCTGAATATATATATTTTAAAAATATAATTTATATTGCAAATATAAATTATATATATACATTTCCCCTGGTTTGTCTTTAAGTTTTGTTTTATTGTGCTGATTTTTTTGATATTAAAAGGCATGATTCTAAAAGGCAATCAGACAAAAAGCTATTATAATACTAAGTGAAAACAAAACCAAAAACAACCCTGTGTACAAAAGGGTACCTGCTTTGGTCACACAACTGAAAACAAGAAGGGAAATCGCACCCGGTTTTAATACCAGAACCGGCCAGCAGAGGGAGCCAGGCCGCCTTCACCCTGGTACTGGTTAGCAGGGCTGTGTAACCAGGTGCATGGTGGGGAGGCTCAGCCTTCCTCTCCCCTGCTTCACATCCCATCAGTTGCCGGGTCCCACCCCTGCCACCTTCTAGATGCCCCACCAGTTTATCTCTCATTGCATACCCAGGTCACTGCCACGGAAGAGCCAACAACCATCCCAGGCATCTGCAACATTCTCACCTCCTGCTGCCCGTTGTGAGCCCTTCCTCAGCCAGAGGGGCCTTTCTGCAGCACTGAGCGGACTTGTGCCTCCCCTGCTTTGGCCCGTCCGCAGTGCGTGCTTCTCCCCCCGCCTGCACCTCACATCTCCACCCCAGCCACACTGAGCAACTTGTGTTTCTGGTCCTTTTGCACGTGCTGTTCCCTCTGCAACCTGACACCCACTTCCTGGCCTGTCCCCCTCCAGGTCTTGGCTGAAGTGTCACCTCTCCTGTGAAGTCAGTTTGGGTGGCTCCCAGCTTTCTCCTGTGGGGTCTCAGGCCCATTTATATCGCCATCAAAGCACCAATCTTACTACCTCATTATGTGTCCGACCCTCTCCATGAGGGCAGGAACTGAGTTCCATTCCTACTTTTACCCCCTGGTCTGGCACGGTGCCCAGCACAAGGCATGGAGTGGGTGTCTGAGTGGGAGAATGGGGCTTTTTAGGGCCTGCTGGGGACTGGACCTTCACACTTTTTGCTGGTGACCATGTGGGGCACCCTCAGCCCTCTTCAGCCTCCAGGAGCCCCAGGAGAATAGCCAGGCTTTCCAGCAGGGCCACCTCCCCGCGTGCCAGCAGGCCGTGTCCCCACCTTCTGTGGTTCATGAGCAGCTCCCGGTGCAGCTCCTGGTGGCTCCGGGAGGCCTTCACAGGGTTCAGCAGCTTCTTGGGCTTGATGAGCTCCGGGTTCCACTCTCTGTATTCTGGCCGGGCCATCAGCCCCCCGATGTCCGCCCGCTCCCTCTGGATTTCTGAGTACATGGTGGCTGTAGAGGTGGGCAGAGGCGTTGGTCAGAGCTGGGCCTACAGTCCCACCCATCCCCAGGGCACAGTTGGAGGGCAGGGCTTTTCATGTCAGATGGCCCATGGCACCTGCTACTGTGCAGCCCTGGGCAAGCTGCATGACTTTCCCAGCATAGTTTCTTCATCTGTAAAATGGAGACAATAATCAAATGTATGTACAGGGTTGTAAGGATTAGAGATGGTGTTTGTAAAGTGTCTGGGGCATAGAAGTGCTACTGGGTCACTGAATATGGGTGGACATATGTGTACATTTTTGGCTTGACTTTGCAAAAACTAATTTCTCCCACCATAAAAGGAATTGTGTTTGAGTTTCTGTTTTTCAGTGAGCTTGTACCAGAAAAAGAAAAAATACTTAAAAAGAGTACTATGCACTTGTTAAAGATAATTTGGATACACGCACTGATAAAAGAAACATCACCCTTTATTGTCTAATTCCCTGTCCATGCTCCCATATCCTCTCGTGGAAGCGTCCAGCTTTGCACTTTCTCCACGTCAAAGGGGAGAGTGTGCAATCTAGAGACTGCTGCATCCCTCATTACAAAGGGATGGTTGTCATCTTCTGTGCCAGTGTGTGGCAACTCAATGGCCTCATTTCTAATCTGGCAGTTTGAAATTTGTCATTTTACTTAAAATTCAGGCAGAAGGGCTTCCTCCTCTACAGACTGCTTTCTTATCCTTGAAATGCCCGAGGGGGGGGGAGAGAGAGAGAGAGAGAGAGAGAGAGAGAAGACTTCTTGAAAAAAAGTCTCAAGGGGATAGATACTGCCTGGCTTTTAGCTGTTTATAGTAATTACAGTGAAAATTTAGACACTAGCTCGGACTGCTCATGAGTCCAGCTTTTCGGAAGTACACCCCTACTATATGCCAGGCACTGGCAGTGTCTGGCCTGGTATGTAGCAGGCACTTGATACATATTTGTTGGTAATTGATTTTGAGGTTTTGGTCTTGGGGAATCAGTGCCCTAAGGCTTTTCATGTGGCAACTGAGGTATGTGTCCCCACCTCACATACCAGCACCCTCTTGAGGACCACCATGTTCCCTTTGCACAGACTCACTTTCTCCCCCACGCTGGGAAGGGGGTGAAAGCTATTTCCTGCCTGTATGCAGCATGATGGATGAACGGCTCTCCAGGTGAACTAGACAGGGATGGTGATCTGGTGGAAAACCTGGAAGTGGCCAACCGCTTGTACAGAGAAGGGGTTTGGTGGGGTACACACTGCAAGACCACATGTCAGGGGACGCAGGCATCAAGTGGGGGCCGTGCTTTGCAAGAGCGGCACACGAGACACATCGGCATTTCTGTGACCGCCCACCTGAGAGTGCTGTTTGGAGAGTTAAGTAAGACCACATATGTCAAGGTGCTGTGTAACTGGAAAAAATGTTAATTATTATAAGGTGTTTTAGATGTTAGCTAGTGTCGGGACATAGAAACACATCTGCTATTGTGTTTTCTTGAATTCATGTTCTCAGAACCATTTCTAAAATGAAAATTCTAATTAAATTCTTTTTGTTTTATCTTGTTCATAAGGCTGTTTGCTTTTAGGTTATATCCTTGCCAAATTTTTGGTCCTTAAAAAATAAATAATGGTGATAATATTTAGTAGTTTCTTAAAAATGGCCACTTGACAAAATAAACAGTTGGCTATATCAGCTCTATCTCTCTCTCTCTTTTTTAGTGTGGGCATTTTCTTAGTCCATGGGATCAAGTTGTCTGGGAGCCAATGCATTAGAACACTCTGATTCAGATTGCAGCTTTGGGATTTTCTGCCCCCATTAGCTGCCCATTTCTGCTAACAAGGTCCACAATCCTTTGACTGAGTAATTCTCAGATGCATCTTTCCTTCATATGTCTTCAGCTCTCATCCTGTCCAGGTCATTGTTGCACCACACTTTAATAACTGTTGTGGCTCCCTGGCTATTCACCTTGTCCTTAGTCCTGTTGCACCCCACACCTTCCAGAGCTGCACACTTTTGTTTTTATCAGTCACACCATCCTTAACACCTGCCACACTAGAAAAAAATTATTTTTCCCTGGGGCCATGGTGTTTTATTAACACAAAATGATCTTTCTAATTTGTTATTGTTTATTGTTTTCTGTGTATGAATTATATGTACTGCAATCCACATTTTTAGAATGGAATTGTCAATATTAATTGTAACAATAAGAACATCAACAAGCAAGATGTTCACAAACCAGCTGCAGGGTATTGCTTCACGAGGCCCCAGGCTCAACACTAGCATGAGTTAAATACAACTCACATGGTAGTTAATGTGTTAAAAGAACTCACTATATGTTGCCAAAGCAATAAGGCAGGAAACAAATAAGTTGGACAACTTATTTATATCTCCTTTAGGAAAGAAGATGGTAGAATTAATATTTGCATAGATATAGCTATATACCAAGAAGTCCCACATGGATGATGAGAAAAGCATGTGGAACTAATTCGAGAGTTTGATAATGTGGCCAGATACAAAATAAGTACACAAAACCCGGAGCTCTTGCATAACGGGATTAACAGGAGTGACCATTGAGAGAGTGCAATCACACATTCCACAGGTGTTTGAGTTCCTACAATCTGCCAGGTACTGTGGTAGCACTGGACACAGAGGGGAACTAAATAAGTGAGGTCCCCACCCTCACAGCACCCACACTCTGCTAGGGAGTGACAGCAACACAGACACACACCAATCAAAACAAAAGAGCTTCGTGAAGGAAACAGGTGGCTCCCATAGAGACTAAGGAAGGGCCTACCTTCAGCCAGGTGCGGGGGGAGGGCCTGTTTGAGGAGGGGACATCAGGAGCTGACGGGCGAGAGTGAGGAGGGAGGCCATTTGAGGGCTAGGGAGCAGCATGCATGACGCCTGTACCTTGAACAAGCTGGGTCTGTTCAGGGAACAAAAAGGCACAGTATGCCTGGAGTGGTGTGAGGGGGCAACGCCGGGAGCATGTTTGGCGTGAGGGTGGACGGGTGGGCTCAATTCGGGGAAAGAGTTTGTCTGATTCCGTTTTAAAAAGGTCATTCTCCAGGCTGTATGGGGAAAACTGTCAGCAGGCTTTGGGAATTTCTGACGTTGGCTTCCTTCACTCCAATGTGTGGTCTCTGCCTGTCTCTCTCTCCTGTTAAATTCCAGAGGAAAACCCTCTGCTTGGCCTGGCTGAGACCCTTTCCCCTGGGTCACCAGCCAGCTGCGGTGGCTGCCCTGAGCTCAGACCCCACCCAGGCAGCCAGACTGAGTCGTACAGGGTCACACTTAGAGGGGCCCTGTTTGGTTTAACCATCTGTTGTCTCTGTCTTGAAATTCCTGATGCATTTTGCACAAGTGGCCCTGCATTTTTATTTTGCTCCGCGCCCTGCAAATCATGTAGTCAGTCCTACACCACTCCAGGTCCAATAAGGGGCTAGCTCTGGCGCAAGATCTGCTCCAGGCTTTTTTTTTTTTATTCATTTAATATAAATGAAATCTGTGGTGAGCTGTGGAAGGTGGTGTCTCCCTGAGGCTGGGTGGTGTGGCGGCTGAGGCAGGGACCCTGAAGGCTGCGGCTGGTTCTTTAGCCCACAGCTGCAGTGAGAAAACACGTGTGACACCCGTGTACACACGGCATCCAGTGTGTGGGGGGTGCTGTTGGGAGCCCCCAGGGTTTAGAGAGCTGCTGGGCCAGCCTTCCTGCTTTTGAATTGGGTTCGAGGAGGCCTGGGTGTAGAAGAGCCTCACACAGTCCCCCTCACAAAAGAGGCTGTGCAACAAAGCACAAGTGCTAGGCCAGGAATATCCAGGAGAGGTCTGGGTTGCTCCCAGGACTGCTGGGGTGTCCGGTGAAAGCCAAGCACCACTGGTGGGGCAGAGAGGTGGAGTGGGCATGAGACAGGCCAGCTCTGAAAAGAGAAAGGCGAATCCCACAGGAAGAGCTGGCAGGGGGAGGAACAGGCCAACGGAGGAGGAGGAGGTTAGGGGCTAGTTAGTATTCGTCACTGCCTTTCAAAGAAACGCAGAATAAGGCAGAAAGACACAAGTGTTTGAGCCATTCAGACCTGGATTTGAATCTTGGCTCTGCCCCTTCTTAGCCCAGGGCAAGTTTATCTACACTCTGGAACCAGAGCCTGGGAAGTACAGCATGTGGACTAAATCTCTACCCTTGGAACACAGCTACGCGCACTCCTGACTTATTGCCTAAGGATGCTTTCCCTTTAGGATAGCAGATTAGGTGGGACAGCTGCTATCGAGCTGGTGTCTCCTCTGCAAGATGGGCATTATAGCAGAACCCTTCTTTACGGGGTTTTTGGGTAATAAATGAGGTGGTACTTGTAAGGTGTTTAGCAAATGCCTAGTACAGACTTGAGGGTTTGTTGCTGGCTACCAGAGCTGCCACATACAGCAAGGCAGATTGTGCACTGCACAACTCCAAATCCTTTTCTCTTATAGATTAAACTGTGAGTGGTGCCCCTGGCATTGCAATGTGACCATCCTGTTAGCTGCTATTAACAATTACTACTGATAGATCCCATTCTCAGTCCTGCATTGAGCTTTCTCATCCTCCCTAAAACTGCGCTGGTTAAACCAGTGATCTTAACCTTGGCTATGTATTGGAGTTACCAGGGCATGTTTTAGTAGTGCCGATGCCAGAGCCCCACTACAGGGATTCTGATCAAATTTGTTGGCAGCTTGGTCTCGGCGATTTTTAGATACTCTCCAGGTGATTCCAATAGGCAGCCAACTTTGCAAACCATGGGGTTAAAAAGAAAAAAACAATGAGCTTCTTTGCTTCGGCCTGAGTGATTTCAGCTGACTGTGGTTATTGTGAATGAGTCTGAATAAGGTCACAGTTCTTAGGGGAAGTGTGACCTTGGGTAGGTCTTTAACCTCTGGGGCCTTCCTCTATGGAATCCTGGTGCTGTGCAGATTGGGCACAGAAAGTGAGGCAGCCAGTAGGTGACAGCTAAATTGATGTCTTACACGACTACAGATGGGCAAATATTCTCTCTTAGTGTGCAGACTGTGGGACTGACCTCATTTTTCATGGGGTGGAGGTGATAAGAGGTCAGAAAAGAGCTTGGGAGCCTCGTTTGGTTTCTCCTAGTTCTGCTGATGGCCCGGGAGGTCTCGCAGCTGCTCCCTGGATGCTCCACAGGACGTCAGCCCCACACCACACCCAGCAGCTGGGACACAAGCTCACCAGGTCATCGGGGTGTGTGTGGCTAATGATGGGGTGGCAGCTTTGAAACCAAACACTGGTCCCCCCTGGACACAAGGTAGTAATAAGGAGAGAAGGAAGGGGAGTTGCGCTGGTGGAGTCCCAGGTCCCAGTTCATCCCGACAACAGCCAGGACACTGTTGCAAGGCCTTAATGTGCCCTCCACCTGCCTCTCCTCTGCCCTGCTGGTCCTGGTTCTGATTTGATGGTGTCCATTATAACAAATGACACATGAGCCAGTGAAGCAGTGGTGAGAGGAGATGTTTCAGAGGCAACAGACTAGGCTTTTATCATGGTGACAACTCTTTCCAGCTGCGTTACCTTGGGCAAATAGCTCAAGCTCTCTGGGCCTCTGTGGAGAGGGCATACTGGCCTACTCATGGGGCTGTCTGGAGGGTGAAATGATATATTGTGCACGACAGTGCCTGGCAGAGTGATGCTCACTGAAGGCAAACTGTGGTCCTCCTGCCCTGAGGGACCCTATGGTGAGCACATGACCTTTGTTCTGGACCTCACAATCACCCTGGGAGGCAGCTGATGGTGCCCTATTTTGTAGATGAGAAAACCAAGGCTCAGAGAGACCATGCTACATGTCCCAAGATACATAGAGAATAAATAGCAAAGCCAGGACCTTTGGCCTCCAAACTCAATGCTCTTCCTGCAAGTTCACTGTCTTCTAGGTGCAAAATGTCTTTTAATTGATGAAGCAGAGTTACATCTTACATCTCTCTTCTCTCTCTAGATACTCAAGAAAGCCCAATGAAGAGGCAGTGTGAGCCCATTTTATAGATGAGAAAATGGAGGCCTGCTAACCTGAGGACTTCTATCCCATATGAAATACAAACTCCCACTGGGGAGCCCCAGCCTGGCCCCAGCAACTCTGGCCTTAACCTAGAACCCCAGGCCTGCCTGCCAACAGGCTGCCCTCTGTTCAGGAGAGGACCTGCTAGCGGCCTCCCTCCTTGGGGCTGTCGGTCAGTCTTTGCTCTTCTGCCCCCCTCACCCCACCCTTATTCCTCATTACCATTCAAGCTGCTGGGTTCAGAACACACTCAGGACTTCCTTGGTTCAGCATTTAATGGGGTGGCAGAACAGATGAGAAGAAAGGCCTTCAAAATAACGACTGGCAAAGGAAAAAGAGGCATTCAGGAAAACTGACAAGCGTGGCCACTGGATTTCCTGACCCTTTGCACTCTTCTCCTCCCCACTGGGAAAGAGCCCATCTGTGCTTCGCTGGCCAGCAATCACAGGACAGTGTGCCTGGGAGCTGCGGCCCCCAGCAGCCTCTGGCCAGTGCCAGGAAGCTCCCCTCCGAGCTGCCTGTCCAGCTGCACTCAGTGACTCTAGACAAATGTTCTGAACACTTTGCTTTGGGTCTGCTGTAACTCCCTACTCTGTGCGAAGGCCTGGGCGGGCATTTGGAGTTTTGAATCAATTCCACAGCAGAGAGTCCAGGGCGAGATTGGAGGATCCTTAGCAAGGCTGGAGGACAGCACTGTGCAGTCGACCAGGAACAAGCTTCAGCAGACCAGATGTTCCTGCGGCTCACCAGTGGCAGGATGCCAGCCACTTGGCCTGCAGATGCCCCTGGGGGGTGATCCCAGCAGGAACCTACCATCGAGAGAGCTAAGAGAGCCACTTTAGGTCCAGGTGCTGGAACTGCCTCGCAGCCAGAAACCACCTGGGTTTGGTAGCAGTTTCAAAAAGTCATACACCCAATCTTATAGCCCTTGATTTCTGGCCCAATCCCAGACTTTCCTTGGACTGCAAAGTGCTAAAGCCAGATTCGCCAGCAAGGCCGGCAGGTGGCACACTCACCTGCACTTGCTGTGTGCCTGGTGCGGTGCTAAGCACCCAGCAGCCACGTCACTTGAAATTCTCACAACTAACTGAAGAGGTGGCTGCTATCATTACCCCATTCTTACAGAGGAAGAAACTAGGCTCAGAGAGGTCACCTGATGTCCCCAGATCACACAGCAAGAGAATGAAGGAGCTGGAATCTGAGCTGACTCTGACAACACAACCTATGTTCCCTCAGTTGTGTCACCCTGCGGCACTCTGGCCTTTTGTCTATCAGTTATTAAGAGAATGAAAGCCCCCATGCTGTGTGATAATTGACTTAGGTGAGGCCGTATAATGCATTAACTCAGATGCATCTGGGGATTCAGAAAAAAAAGATCAATGAGAACACAAGTGCTCACTTTGCCTCCTACTCTTTTTCTGAAACCCAGGCTGCCAGGAGGCATCCTCCATGTCATGTCAAAGATCCGGGACACGGCCCAGGTGCCTAAACTCAGAGCACCCAGCTCCCCGCCAGCCCACTCCAGCGCTTGAAGGCTGCCTTCCTCCCCTTCTACCTCCTCCTGAACAGCACTCACCTCAACCGCAGGTGAAACAGAACAGAAACGGTCTTACTTCTCCGGCTGAGTCCCTGGGAAGGGAAGTCCGGAGCAGTGTAGCTGGGTTCTTCACTCCACCGGGAAGTCCTAGACTAGCAAGGAGGGCCGCCTCTAAAGGGCGGTTCCTAAACCCCTGGGGATAGGAGGCAGCTGAAATGTGCCAACAAGTGAGACAGACTTTGCATTCCTGTTTATTCTGGTATCAATAAAAAGGAACTGTTACTATAGTAACGGATATTTCACTTGGTGCACGGCCACTTCCACGATGCGGAACACCATGTCCAAGCCACATGCTTGAGAGGAACAAATAAGTACCTATTTTGTCAGATGGATGAGGAATAAGAAACATGCTAAGCTTTGTCTGGAACAAGGCGGCTCATGTAAAGGAATTTCCCGTTTCTAATGGGAGGGTCAGGCAAGAGTGGGTTCCGGCCCTTTCCCGATGGAAGGGGAAGCCAAGCTTCCTGCTCCAGTGACGATTCTTCAGGAGAAATGGCCCTCGCAGTGTGTAGGGTATGTGTAAAGGGAGGGGAACTACTCAGCATCTGGTCAGCTCTTGGTCATCCACCAATGGGTCGAAAACTCCACACACGCTATTTCCTTGATATCCTGAAATTCGTCCAAACCTCCCCGAGGAGCCAACGGGACACGGCACAGGGGAGGGGAGAGTGGACACTGACTTGTCTGGGCTCCAGCAGCCTGCTGTGTTGGCCCTGGCTCTGGCACCAGCCTCTTGGCAGCCACCCAGTGTCTCTGAGCCTTGGTTTCTGTATGTGTCAAACATGGAGCATAGTGTCAGACGTGTCATATATGTCATATGTATCAAATGTGGCGCTTGGGAGGTGACATGGATGCCCTGACATCAGGGAGAGTATATAGTCAGTGCTCAGCAAACGTGACTGTTCCCAAAGAGACCTGGGCTTTACGTGACCTGAGTGCAGGGCCCGAGTGTGCAGCACCCTACCTGGCAGACTGTGCCCCATAAATAGGGGCTCACGGAATAAACGTGCGAATGTAAAAATAGTGTGTGTAGATCCCTGAGGCCAACCTGGGTGCTTGTGAGTAATGGAGGCATTTTCCTAATTTCAGAACCAGCTTCCACTTGAAAAGCTGTTAGTGTTTTCTAGCTTTTAGCAACATCCTCGTCCTCTCACGAGGAAGCTCGGGTCTACAAGGGGCCTTCGCCCCAACTTGACTATCTCAGTCTTGGCTGGCTGGAGGGCAGCAAAGCCCAAGACACACATCAAATGTGAACGGGGGCATTAAAAGTGCAACCTTGTGTCCTCTTTGGCTTACATTATTTACTCATTTAACAAGCATTTATTGAGTACCTACTGTGTTCCTAGTACTGTTTCAAGTGAATGACGCAGAAAATACCCCGTCCTCAGGGAACCTACCTTTAAAAGGTACAGAAACCATCAGCTGGTGACGAACGCTACGGCGAAAGCAAGAGGGGTGAGGTGGAAGGGAGGGACTGTGAGCTTAGGAAGGGCAGACACCGTGTGTGTGGGGATTTAGGGACATGGACTCACAAGGAGTCAGCTGTGTGAAGATGTTCAGGGAGTGGGAGCAGCCCGTGGAAGGGCGCAGGGCGTGGCGGATAAGGCCGGCGTGGCTGCAGTGCTGGGTGTGAAGGAGGTGGGAGGTGGGTCTGGGGCAGGGAGGGGCAGGTCAGGGATGTCCAGGGGCTTTGGCCGAGCTGACCATTCTGGAGCCACTTGAACTTAGAGGGTCCTACATTTTCAGGTATTAACGAATTTTCTGGAAACGATGTGTGGTCCTTTTAGTTTCTTTTCAAATTCTGCTTCTCTTGAGGTCCTTTAAACAGCACCCATGCCCACTCCCCAGCTTCCCACTCAGCTGTGCCTGCCCTAACTTCGCTAAACTCTCCTGGCAGAAGACAACAACTAGATTCTCATCAAACTACTCTTTGCTGCCCTGGTTCCTTCCTACACATCATCCTGCTCTACTAATGAGCATTTTTGCCATTTCCCAGGGTCTGCAGTAGCTCATCTGAACCAGTCCCGGCGCCTCTGACAGTTGGGGGGAATAAGGTTTGAGGCAGGGGGACTTCTACTTACCCCCAGAGAAGGCAGCAGCCCAGCATCTAGCGCACCCCAAGGGACGTGCAAGCGAGAGCCAGGGGGAGTTGGGCAGGAGTCCGCCAGCATTGGGTGCCATTTCCCCAGGCAGTTGGGACTCAAGTCACTGTACTTCTTCCCCTAAAACTCTTCTCACAGTCCCACTTTGTCCAACTCCATCAGACCTCCAGCCTGAGGGCAGGGACCTCTCACCTCATCCTCCTTAGTATTCTTGTCCTAGTACCAAAATGCCCAATAACTATTGTTGACCTGAAGACACCAAACATAATACATTAATCTCCTGGAACTTGTCACAGCACCATCTTGCTGTGTGTCTGTGTGATAACTGGATTAAGATCCACAGTCAACAGCCACACCTCATCAGTCAGAGAGTATGCTACACTCCATGATGGCATGCTGCCAATAAACATGTCTATTTATTGACCTGAAAAAGATGTTTCCTACATATTTAATGAAAAACCAAACTGCAAAATCATATGTAGTATGATTCTTTTTTTCCTAAGATAAAAAAGTTAGTTTACACATAGTCATTTGGAGGCATAAATACTAATCTGTTAGCAGAGGTCAGTTTCTAGATCAATGCATCTCAAACATCATTGCTAGGCATTTGAAATGAGTGTCAATAATGGAATTACTGGCACACACTCTTGGATTGGTCTATGAGAACCTTTGAGGGAGGAGCCTAGGAATCTGGATTTTTAATCTACTACCCTGGGAATTCATTTATATTAAAGACTTAGATAACCACTGTTCTATGGTGTAAAATTACAGGCTCTTCTCTTCTGTCATTCTATTTCCGTAATGTTTGTAACTTTAAAACCCAAACCAAGCATGTATTGCTTTTGTTGTCACAAAAAAGCTCTGAAGATTAAAAATATGAGAAAGAGCAACCTTTTGCAACTGCTAGTTAGGAATCACATCTGGTTCAGTTATGGGAAAACAGAGGCTCTCTGAGTAACTGAGCCTTTCGGGAATTTACTCCAGGTAAAGGCAGAATTCAAGGCCCAGCTGCTGCTTGCTGCCTCTTTCTGCGTGGCTTTTCCTGGAGGTCTTTCCATTCTTCCAAAAGGAAGGGAGCCTGGGTTTCGGAGTTCTTGCTCAGCTCTGGGTGGGCTGGAGCACTGAAGGGGGGGGTCCTGAGGCTGAGCACACCCCTCCCACCCTCCTGTCCCTTTGAGATCTGATTTCTTGGGAGCCAGAGGAGCCAAAAGGAAGGAAGCCAGTGAAGTCCCAGGGAGGCGGCCCAGAGCGGGAGCTGGGGAATTTTCCTGCACTGTACTGGGCTGGGCTGTAGTGTGCAGAAGCTAACCACCCCCTAAATTGGCTTTCTTTTCATTTTTGCCCCCTTTCTCCAAGACAGTGGGTCCCTGGATCAGCTTATCAGGGCCCACAAACATCAGACAAGAAGTTTCCATGGCAACTCAAAACTTCCTCCTCAGCCCTGTGTTCAGTCTAAATCTCCAAGGCCCCTTTTCAAGGACTCAATGAGGTTTCTGAGAAGCCACCCACAAAACGGACCCAGGATCAAACTGTGCCCCTCATCCCCCAGACATGCTCTGCTGAAAGGGCTTAGGGGAGAAGAAGCTGTATTGGCAGAAAAAAGCCTGTCATAGAATCCGTGGAGAGAATATAAAAGGAATGAGAATCACCTTTACAACAAGTTTGAACCGGGAAGAATTTCCCCAGTGGAAGGACTTCAAGCGAGAAAACAGGAAAGTGTGAGGGGGTGGGGAAGAACTGAGAGTCTTGTTTCAGAAAGCTGGCTCTCCACCCAGCTGCAATTAGGCATGCTTAATTTGGTCTCTTAGCTGCAGAAGAACCCTGGGGCTCCCATTACCCCCAGCACATTTTAATTTCCTTGTAGCCAGACAAGAGGGACAGTGGCTCTAGGGGTGGGGAGTGGATATGAGTGTGTGTGTATTAAACCTGGGCAAACCATAGCTTGTCAAGCCAAGCAAACTTCCATAATTCCTGGCAGTGTGGTTGGCAGATACAGCAAATACAAATGCCACACACCCGGTTAAATTTGAATTTCAGATAAGCAACGAATAATTTTTGAGTATAAGTACATTCCATGCAATATGTGGAATGTTCTTACACTAAAATACTATCTGTACTTGGAGACTTTCTGTTTAAAGAAATAAAAAAATAATAATAATAAAATAAAATACTATCTGTTATTTATTTGAGATTCAAATTTACCTGAGCGCTCAGCAGTTTATCTGGCTACCCCATCTGGCAGAGGCCAGAGATGGGAGCTGTGGCTGCCCCTCTGGCTCTAGAGGGGAAATGCAGTCACTGGTGCCACAGGCATCTGGGGAGGTGCCTGCTTGTCGGTGCCACACAGAGATGCTTTCCTCCCCACCAGGAACCTCGCCTGAGCTCCAGGTAGGATGCAAGTAACACACCTCAGGTGGACTTCTGCTGCAAGACTGCATAGTTTTCCAGGCATGGCCAAGCATAAGTGATTCCACAGAGGTGAAATGATTAAGAGTGCGGGCTCTGGTGTCAACCCAGATCCCAATCCTAGCTCCACTGCTGGACAGCTAGGTCATCTTGGACTCCCTGTTTCCTCATCTCTAAAATGGGGCAAATGTTCTTTTGAGAAACAAAGCAGATGGGGCACGGAAAGCCCTTTACCCCCAAGGCAGTGGTGTCAGAGTCACCACTACAAGTGGTGGTTATTATTTGGATAATTTAAAAGCATTAAAGATTTCCATCCAAGTGGAAAAAGTAGATTTAAAGACTAGAGTCAGTACAATCTCAACAGTGTAAACAAATACACACAGAAACTGGGTGTAGCAAACACTGGAAGGAGACATTTCCAAATGTCACTAGTGGTTGCTTATGGGTTGTGGGATTATGAGTTAAGCTTACCTCTTCATTCTCAATTTCCCCAAATATCTATGGTGAACATGTATCACTTTAATGTTAAGACATTATTTGGATGTAACCTGGGATGAACATTTTTCTAAAAGTGTTGTAATACTTGGTGCATGACTGTGGGCTGCTGCAATGACAATGGCTGTGTTGGGTTTGATTCTAGCCTCTCTCCTCTGCAGGGCTTTCGAAGCGGTGCACTCCCCTTCACCACGCGGCCTGCTGAGTTGGCCTCTTACTCCCATTCTCACTTCTTGCTTCCTGTGTGAGACAGCCAGAAAAGTGTTACCAGAGGCACAACAGCCCTGGTTCAAATCTCATCCTTCCTTGACAAGCAGTGTGACCTTAGACAAGTCATTGTACCTTCTGAGCCTCAGTTTCCTCTTGTTCCCAATAGAAGTTCACATTACTTACCTCCCTGAGAAGAGGGGCATATCTGTTTTATCAATACACCCCTATGCCTTGCAGAGAGCCGAGGGCGTAATAGAGGTCAATAAGTATTAGCTGAATGAATGAATGAATGGAGTTGATGAGATGAGGTGTACAGCATTTGGCAGAGAAAGGGCAATAGGTAGTGACTAACGATCATTTGGCATTATTATCACTATTCTAAGATGTCCAGACTTTGGCATAGATGGACTGAAGTCTCCATGTGTTTTCTGTCTCTTTGTGGGGTAGAAAACGTCTCTGAGCATCTGTGGGCAAGCTGCTCAAGCCTTCGGAGCCTCAGCTCCTCTTCTATTAAATGGAGAGCTGTGAAGAGCGAGCGAGCCGCCACACGGCGCCTAGCGCACAGTGAGGCGCCCTGCCAACAAAGCGCTCCGCCCCTTCGGCGAGGCCGCGGCTCCCTCGCGGGCTTGTGACTGTGTGCGGCACGGTGATGGCAAGCATGCGGCACCTAGTGACTCTTGACATGTCTGCTATTCCGGAGAGGGTGAAAGCTAGAGTCTCATCGCTGCGGCGCCGGGATAGGGGGAACACAAGGGCTTCCGATTAGGGACGCCCCTTGCGGTTTTGTGAGAAGAACTGGGTGAGGGACACTTAAACAGATTGCTTCGTGGGGGAATCGCCAGAGCTGGATTTGAAATCAGATTCGTCTAATTATAGAGCCCCTCCCTTTCTGTCTGCCTGTCTCACCGCACTTGAGACCCCCCCAGGAAGGCGTCACCAGTCCTGAAGTTGGGGCCAGTCCTTGCTTTCGGACTTGGCCGTTCCAGTCACTGTGCCGGTGCTCTCACCCCAGCGGCTGGGCGGCGGGATCGCCCGGCCCAGGCGCGAAGGCCGCATCTCCGCGGGGCCGGCGGGCGCGGCGGCTGACTCGCGCTTTTGGCTCCAGCGGTCTGGGGCAGGACTCGCCCAAGGAAGAGGGCAGCTGGCCCGTGAGCCAAGTCCCTTGACACGTTGTAATCACGAACCCCCACTGGCAAGGACCCAGGCACCAGGCTGTTCATCACCTCCAAACGCCTCTGTCCAAGCACAGTCCGGCAGGAAACGCCCCAAACGCTTACCTAGGGCGTTCGTTTTCGTTTTCCTACATGCCCATGTTTTCCAAATTACTTGGAAACTGATCCTATATTATGTTTACTTCATTTTTCTAAATTAAAGAATCCTCTTATTGTCCTGAGTAGAAGGATAATACATGCTCACTGTGAACAAGCAAACCGAAAGACGTCAGAGAAAAACACACCTGTCATCCAACCCCCATCCTCTAAAAAGAAAACCACCGTGTTTCCTTCCAAATCGCTGCAGGCACCCACAGAGAACGGTTCCTCTCCTACCTGTAACTTGCTCCCCGCCTTGTGTCACGCACGCACGCCCCACGGCACCCCGAAGTCCCTCCCCAGCGGCTGCCGGCCCTTCCCGCCCTTCCCGCTGCCTCCTCGCGCAGCGTCCGCGCCGGCCCAAGGCGCCCGCCCCGGGGCGCGCCGTCCGCGAGTCTCCGCAGAAAGGGACCTCGCAGGACTTCTGAAGTGAAGGAATGTAGTGCGTGCGCGTCTGTGTGTTCTCGAGCATAGGAAGAAAGCAACACATGTAAGAAAAGAGGAAAGAGGGAAGGAAAAACGGAACGAAAGAAGGAAGGGAAAACTAATGTAAAAGGCTGACGGAAGGGAGGAAAGCAGGGCTGCGCAGGACAGACGGGCCGGGGCTGGCGGCCGGGGCTGGCGCAGTGCACCCAGCGCTCCCCGCGCGTCCCCGGGCGACGGTGGGGCCGGGGGCGTTGCCCCACTTACCCGACCTGAGTAGCACGGCCCGGTACAGCCCGGTGGCCTCTGCGGGCCCCCGCGCCCTCTCGCCCGGCCTCTGCGCCATGCGCCCGCGCGCGACTGCGGAGCCGGCACTGCGGACCGGGCGCCCCCGCCACCGCGCCGCCCCCGCCACCGCGCCGCCGCGGCTCGGGTTACCGCGCGGCGGGAGGGGCCGGCCGGCGGACGCCGCCGCCGGAAGGGCCAGGCGAGGCCGGGCGGCGTCTGAGCCCAGGTAGCAGGCCGCGCGCGAGCGAGCCGCGGCGGGAGGACGCCCAGCCCCAGGGCTCCAGGCCAAGGCGGGAACAGCGTGTCCTGACTACCGGCCTCCAGCTCCCACCTACTCTTCTCCGGTCTTTGGCCCTTGGCCTTCTGAACGCTACCAGCAGACGTGGGGTTCTGAAGTGCCACGCCTGGGATAAGTTCCCGTGCCACCAACTAATAGCTGCGGGACCCCACAGCCTGGTTACCTGGCCTCAAGGAAACTGTTTCCCCATCTGTAAAACCGGGATAACCAGAGTGCGTCTCTCTCAGGGTTGTGAGGTTCACCGGACATCTACCTACCTGCTACACATCTCTCTTAGAGCAGTGGCTGGCACAGAGCCAACACTGCACGACGTGTCGATGTATACCGGACAGCCTGGTGCTTTTTTATAAAAAAGTGGCTCAGGCATCCCGGGCGGGCAGCTCTGAGAGGCAGGGGCTTTGCCGGGGGAAAGAAGGTTGAGAGGGGAGGCCTGTGGCACTCTACAAGATTGACTTCCTGGCTTTGTGCAGTGACTTTAACAGGTGGGAGAACCGATCAAAAGAGTCTAAAGGGAGAGGTGCAAAGTCAAGCAGGTGGTTTTGAAAGATATAAGAAGCTGACAATTTTGATTATCTATTCTGTGTCTGGAGCTGTGCTAAGTTTCTTCTAAAGCAAAAACTGTTTATTGCATGTGTCATGTCTTGTTTAATCTTCATAACCTTATGAAGTAGGGTCTATTAGCATTCTCATTTCACAGATGAGAGAAAACTGAGGCTCAGAGAAGTTAAGCAACTTCAGAGAAGTTAAGGAACTTCTCTGAAGTCACACAGGATGGAGCTGGGAAATGAGCTCAGGTGGTCCGACCTTCAGACATGGGCCACTCTGCCCTACTGCCTCTTTACCTTCTTTTATCTCATTTCCTCTTCACATCAGCCCTGAAGAGTAGATATCACCTCCAGTTTAGAGGTGAGATAATTGAGATTTGGGAAGGTGAGGTGGCTTGCCTCACTTTTGCCCCTGAAATCTAGAGATCTGTGGAGCTGTTCAGATACTGGACGGTCTCTGTTCAAGGTTGGGCCAGGGAAGCTTGCGCTGGCTGCTGGAGTCTCAGCCACCCAGGATCACCTCCCTCTCCCTCTGTCATCTCCTGGGCCAGCTGCTGGTCAAGCCCTGTTTGGCTGCCTGCCCAGGCCCAGTTTTGCTCTGACTCAGATCCTTGTACTTCTCTGCTCCTCAGACACCATCCAGCGTCCTGAGGATCCACCTGACACACTCAGACACCACCCAGGGTCCCAAGGTGACACTTGATCTTCGGGGACCTCACTAATTGGCCAGACTGATCATGTCTCTCATCAACAACCAGTCATCAGGAGTGCCAGGCACGATGCCAGACCTTTGCCATTCACTATCTCAGAGGATGAAATTATACTCAATTTACAGTTCATCTCAATCCACTCAATAGCTCTTTGATCATGCTCTGGTTATGCCCCTTTTAGAGATGAGGAAAATAAGGCTCAAGTGACTTGCACAAGATCACATAACTAGTTAGTAGTGGAGCTGGAATTTGAACCCAGAGGGAGCCAAAACTTTTGCTGCAAGGGGGAAACCAAATCAGCCACTGAGCAAAGTGGGATTCAGGCAGTTGTGGCTGAGGGGTGGCCTTTAGGGAGCATGCGGGAAGGATTAGCTCTGGCTCCACCTGAAGAGTTCTCACCGCGTCTGACTTACCTGAGTTATTGAGTTTCTGCTTCTCATTTTCACTATGAAATTGGGCCTGAGGAGAGTATTCTTTCTGTAAACAGAAAGCAAGCAGGTGGAGGTGAGGATCCTCTGTTCCCTGGCAGGGGGAGGGGTGATGGGCTATTCATAATGTCCCTGAGTCTTTTGGCCACAGAAGGTCTGGCTGGGGTTAAAGTCCTCTCCAGAGAAAATATTGCTATAGTCCTTGGAATGTGTTTATTGGGGGAGATTTATGAGACTCATGCTCTTTTTTAAAAAATAGACTTTATTTTTTAGAACCATTTTAGATTTAGAGAAGAATTAAGAAGATAGTACAGATAGTTCCCTTATACCCCACACCCAGTTTCCCTATTAGCACCCTACATGTATGAGGCTGCACATGTATGCAGTGTCATACACTTGTTATAATTAATGAACAAATATTGATACATTATTACTAACTAAAGGACATACTAGTATTCACATTCTCTTAGTTTTTACCTAATGTCCATTCTCTGTTTTAGGATGCCATCCAGAATGCATTACATTGAGTTGTCTAGTCCTTGTAGGCTTCCCTGGGCTATGATGGTTTCTCAGGCTTTCTTTGCTTTTGACGATGTTCACAGTTTTGAAGAACCCTGAGATCCATGTTCTTTTACATGAATGCGTGCCCATGCTCTTCCTTCTACCCAGACTGCCCTCTGCCCACCTTTCTGGCAAGCTCCTCATTCCTCGAGGGTCAGTTCAGAAGGCTTCAGGGCTTGGTCCTCGCTGTTAGTTCTTGGATATCTTCTCTTCTCCCTCTAAGCTCTCAGGCTTTTAAAAATAACTTTAAGCCTATGTTCCCCAAATGGATATTTTCCATCCAGGCTTTGCTTCTGAGCTTTCACCTTGCCTAATTGGCTACCTGACATCTCCACTTGAAATTATAGTTAGGCACCAGAAACTCACCATGGCCCAAACAGAGCTCTTGAACACCTGTCCCTCAACCTGTCCCTCCCCTGTCTCCTTCTCTTGGCAGGTGACTGTGCTCTGACTTCCTTGCTCAGGCCAGGAGCCTGAGTGTTTGCCTTGCCCTGTTTTTCAGCAACCTCACAGTCCTCAGATCACTGAGGCAGGGTGAATTCACCTCCTAGTTGATCTCTGGTGCCTGTCCACTTGTCTCCCGCCCCCAGCCCGGGCACCACCACATGTGTGGTCCCCACAGTGGCTTGCCCTCCTTCCAGCTGTTCTTCACACACACCCCAGTGTGAGCTTTTAATATGTGACTCAGACCCTGACTCTGCCTGACTGGGAACCTTCAGTGCCGTCCCTGTGCGCCGGGAACCAAACCCACATGCCTTCCCCTGGCCTCTGCAATCCGGGCCCTCCCTGCAGCCGCCCGTACTGTCTATCTCTTTCTTCCAGCGTTGAAGGCTGGGTGCCTCGGGGAGCACGTCAGAGGGCCTGTCCCTGTGGTGCTCGCGTTCTCAGCGGGAGAGACAGAGGAGGACAAGGAGTCGGGAGAGTAGGCAGTGTGGCAGAAAGTGAACACAAGGGACAATGGAAGAGTAGAGGAGGGGGAGGGTGTGGCTTGTGGGAAGTGGGGACAATAAATGGTGACAAACAGATCTCATTGAGAAGGTGAGATGTGAGCACAGATTTGAAGAAAGCAGGGAGTTAGCCGAGCAGGTGTCACGGGGAGAGTGTTAGAGTGAAGCCCTGCGGCTGGGGTGAGCTGGCCAGGTTCAGGGAACAGCAGGGAGGCTGAGTGCAGGGAACACAGGGGCAGTCAAATGAGGGAAGGTCAGCGAGGAAGTGGGGCCACTTTCCCTCCACCCACTAAGAATTACTTGGGTTCCCTGAAAGCCCCACTTTTTCTCACCTCCCAGCTGTCACGGGGCCTGCTCCCTTCACCCAGGACACCCCCCA